GCCCCTCCTCCTCTCCCTGCTCCGTGTTCCCAGCCCCTCCTCTCCCTGCTCCGTGTTCCCAGCCCCTCCTGTCCCTGCTCCGTGTTCCCAGCCCCTCCTGTCCCTGCTCCGTGTTCCCAGCCCCTCCTGTCCCTGCTCCGTGTTCCCAGCCCCTCCTGTCCCTGCTCCGTGTTCCCAGCTTCTTCCTCTCCCTGCTCCGTGTTCCCAGCCCCTCCTGTCCCTGCTCCGTGTTCCCATCCCCTCCTCCTCTCCCTGCTCCGTGTTCCCAGCCCCTCCTCCTCTCCCTGCTCCGTGTTCCCAGCTCCTTCCTCTCCCTGCTCCGTGTTCCCAGCTTCTTCCTCTCCCTGCTCCGTGTTCCCAGCCCCTCCCCACTCTCCCTGCTCCGTGTTCCCAGCCCCTCCTCCTCTCCCTGCTCCGTGTTCCCATCCCCTCCTCCTCTCCCTGCTCCGTGTTCCCAGCCCCTCCCCACTCTCCCTGCTCCGTGTTCCCAGCCCCTCCCCACTCTCCCTGCTCCGTGCTCCCAGCCCCTCCCCACTCTCCCTGCTCCGTGCTCCCAGCCCCTCCCCACTCTCCCTGCTCCGTGTTCCCAGCCCCTCCCCACTCTCCCTGCTCCGTGTTCCCAGCCCCTCCCCACTCTCCCTGCTCCGTGTTCCCAGCCCCTCCTCCTCTCCCTGCTCCGTGTTCCCAGCCCCTCCACACTCTCCCTGCTCTGTGCTCCCCGCCCCTCCACACTCTCCCTGCTCTGTGCTCCCCGCCCCTCCCCACTCTCCCTGCTCCGTGTTCCCAGCCCCTCCTCTCCCTGCTCGGTGCTCCCAGCCCCTCCCCACTCTCCCTGCTCCGTGTTCCCAGCCCCTCCACACTCTCCCTGCTCTGTGCTCCCCGCCCCTCCCCACTCTCCCTGCTCCGTGTTCCCAGCCCCTCCTCCTCTCCCTGCTCCGTGTTCCCAGCTTCTTCCTCTCCCTGCTCCGTGTTCCCAGCTTCTTCCTCTCCCTGCTCCGTGTTCCCAGCCCCTCCTGTCCCTGCTCCGTGTTCCCATCCCCTCCTCCTCTCCCTGCTCCGTGTTCCCAGCCCCTCCTCCTCTCCCTGCTCCGTGTTCCCAGCTCCTTCCTCTCCCTGCTCCGTGTTCCCAGCTTCTTCCTCTCCCTGCTCCGTGTTCCCAGCTTCTTCCTCTCCCTGCTCCGTGTTCCCAGCCCCTCCTGTCCCTGCTCCGTGTTCCCATCCCCTCCTCCTCTCCCTGCTCCGTGTTCCCAGCCCCTCCTCTCCCTGCTCCGTGTTCCCAGCCCCTCCTCCTCTCCCTGCTCCGTGTTCCCAGCCCCTCCTGTCCCTGCTCCGTGTTCCCAGCCCCTCCTCTCCCTGCTCCGTGTTCCCATCCCCTCCTCCTCTCCCTGCTCCGTGTTCCCAGCCCCTCCTCTCCCTGCTCCGTGTTCCCAGCTTCTTCCTCTCCCTGCTCCGTGTTCCCAGCCCCTCCTCTCCCTGCTCGGTGCTCCCCGCCCCTCCCCACTCTCCCTGCTCCGTGTTCCCATCCCCTCCTCCTCTCCCTGCTCCGTGTTCCCAGCTTCTTCCTCTCCCTGCTCCGTGTTCCCAGCTTCTTCCTCTCCCTGCTCCGTGTTCCCAGCCCCTCCTGTCCCTGCTCCGTGTTCCCATCCCCTCCTCCTCTCCCTGCTCCGTGTTCCCAGCCCCTCCTCCTCTCCCTGCTCCGTGTTCCCAGCTCCTTCCTCTCCCTGCTCCGTGTTCCCAGCTTCTTCCTCTCCCTGCTCCGTGTTCCCAGCCCCTCCCCACTCTCCCTGCTCCGTGTTCCCAGCCCCTCCTCCTCTCCCTGCTCCGTGTTCCCAGCCCCTCCACACTCTCCCTGCTCCGTGTTCCCAGCCCTTCCCCACTCTCCCTGCTCCGTGTTCCCAGCCCCTCCTCTCCCTGCTCCGTGTTCCCATCCCCTCCTCTCCCTGCTCCGTGTTCCCATCCCCTCCTCCTCTCCCTGCTCCGTGTTCCCAGCTCCTTCCTCTCCCTGCTCCGTGTTCTCAGCTCCCCCACTCTCCTTGTGCTCAGCCCTGAAGCTCCCCCACCCCCTACCTTTTGCAGCACCAGTATCTTTTCCCAGGGTTCTCAGGATTAAATAAATTGGCTTACTCTTCAGAGCAGTCTGTTAGGTTTCAACTTTCTTCATGCTCCATTTTCTCAGAATTTGGGGACATTTCCTGTCTACTGTGTCTGTGTTTGTGACCCCATTCTCTTGGTCCTTACAAGTTTATTCCTTTTGCATTTTTTATTCTCTTTTAAGAACATTTGGGAAGGAGACTCTTGTGGGTTCTACCACTCATATTTTAGCCTTAAGCCTCAGATTTATATTTTAAGAGGACTGGTTTTGGTACTGTGCAGAATTGAGGAAAAAACAGAATTCTGTGAGGAGACCGAGACATCAGCCAGCAGGGCGGGAGCAGAGCAGAGTTGAGACGCCCGTGCAGATAGGGTTGGCAGTGCAGGGTGAGGAAGGAGCCCACCTGCTTCAGAGCATCCTCAGTGTTGGAAAGCAGCTTTTACAGCCAGGCTCATGGCCCGCTGTGTCTGAATTCTTGAAGATGTAAAAGGGACCTTTCCAAAACAGTCATGGTTCTTCGCGCTCATTTTCAAAACTTTGGAAGTTATAAGCAGACAAAATGGAAATAATTTGTAATTATAACAAATATTTAAAGTCTCTGCCAAAATCGTTAGGAAACCTTCCATCATATAGCTTACAGTGGTGACTGTACTTTTCCCTGACCTCAGAGCATCGGGTTTGCCGAGTTCTTTGCTGTGATGAGGATGTTGCTTGACCTTTGAGTGACTCTTCTCATGAGGTGGAGTCCTCAGGAGGAGGAAGTGGGGTCAGGTGTCTCGCCTAGCTAATTTGATGTTGTAAAGGCTGACTTTGTTAAAACTGTAAGAATAACCTCAAGTTATTGGGACATATAGGGGTTGGGGTCAGAGGAAGGAAATAATTGAAGGTATTTGTTTCTTATCTTTAGTATCTGCAAAGGGTTTTCCCCAGTGTTTCTTCGTGGTTTTGAATCCTCAGAGGACACTCACTTGTCACCTTGGAGCCATGTACTTCTTCCCCAGAAATTAGCCCAACTAGAAAATGAATGGTGAAAATACTTTCAATAGGAATTTCATTAAAGTTCTTTTGTTGTGACCTGTCTAAAGAGTGAAATTAAAAGCAAGTTAAATTCTTACGGTCCTTATGATCATCATCCAGACCTTGTCACTTTTCTTGTTTATCATTCTGTGGCCTGTCTATCCAGGCTGGAGGAGTTCAAGCATCAGTTACTGCAAGCCATCTCAGCAAATCAGGTCATTTACTAAGTTGGGTGTTTTAAGTAATTAAGTGCTGTTTGTGCTAAGAGAAACAGCAAGTGGGCACTTGCACACATGTGGGTGAGCACCCTGCGTGCCTGCTGCTCAAGTGAGAAGGGTGGTTCTCTCTCCAACATTAGAGACACACTCTCTGCTTCCTTTTCTTTCTTTCCTTTTTTGCTTGACTACCTGTTCCACTTAACTGTAACATTTGGAAATTATTTCAGTGGATAATTCCATGTGCACACGCACTTTGTATGCTGATTGTAGATGACAAGGAGAGCACAGTCGGAAATGATGAGTTCCAGGCTGGCTTGCCTCTTCCAAGGACAGGATGTAGGTGGTCCGCGTCCAGCAGACTCACGGCTCCAGGGAATTGAGCCAGTGGGTGTGCGCAGAGCCCCTGCTCGGCACCAGGAGCATTACATGTGTGCCTTTTTTCCCCCTGCTTAACCCGTTCTTTGAAAGTATTTCTCTTTTTTTTACTCTTATTGGCTTCATTTATTGGTAGCCTGTGATAATTGTATAGAAAAAGAAAATGCGGTGTAAAAATACTAATCTGTATTTTTCTATTATAACTTCAGTGGCTCAAGAAAAAAAAAAAGTCAAAAATACGACTGTCCAGAGGCAAGTAAACTCTTGATCCAAATCCATGTACCCTTGTCAAGAGTTAGTTTTTACTAACATGTTCAGAAAAACAAAGTTGAGCCACAAATGAAACAAAGGCTAGGTTATCAGATACCAGCTGCAAACATTATTTTTACTAAAACATTTTTTGCAAATTTTTAAATTATTGGTTCTAGAAGGCTTTGTAAAAGTCATCATTCTGTTGCTTGAATGTACTGGATAATTAAGTACATTCCCTATCTAGCTTGAGGCAACAGACCTTGTTTTGGCTGAAGGACCTCACACTTTCGTTTCCCCAGCCAGTGTCCTAAGACAGGGAGAGCGGATGGGGTAACAATCCCCCTTGCCTTGCCTGCCCTTCAGCTCTGCACTGGTGCTTAAGACCTGGTGGCCAGCAAGCCGGCCCTCTCAGGCTTGCCTAGGAACACACAGATGATTAAGGGACTCTAAGAGTGTGGTCCTGGCAACCTCGCTGACCCTTGGTTTTACCACAGCATGCCCTGCCAAGTGGCAGGCCTCTTTCTGCGTGTGGCTGGGAAATGCTCCCTGAAAGCAGCATTTGTCTGTGCTCGGCTCATTCTCCTGGAGTTCTCCTTTTCACCCCACTGATAGCCGTGTATTCCTGTTTCGATGGCAGCTCCTGTGAGTGCCAATCTTCAGGGAGGGGACCTTGGCTCTCTGGTCCCCTTCCCAGGTTTGGTGGGGGCTAAAGGTGGCGTTCTCTTCCAAGTATGCTGAGTTGGTGCACTGTGAGCTCAAGATTGTACTTTTACTTTATGGAAAAACTTTTTTTCATAGTTCTATTTGCCTACATAATTGTATCGACCAACTTGGTTATTGATGAAGTCTTGTTTCTATAAGCAGTGTACTATTCTTCTACTCTCACTGGACTGCTGTATTTCGAGCTTTACCTAGAATCTTAGGTATGCTCTGACTCATTTAGAAAGATTTATAATACAGAGTATGCAGATATATAAGAACGTACAAGAAGGGGGGGGACACTCAGCCACATATTACTAATAGAAATCTTGTTTATTTCCTCACAGATGCAGCAGCTTTTTTATGAGAACTATGAACAGAACAAGAAGGGGTACATTAGAGATCTCCATAACAGTAAAATTCACCGCGCCATCACACTGCACCCGAACAAAAACCCACCCTACCAGTACAGGCTTCACAGCTACATGCTCAGCCGCAAGATCGCTGAGCTTCGCCACCGCACCATCCAGCTGCACCGCGAGATTGTCCTGATGAGCAAATACAGCAACACCGAGATCCATAAAGAAGACCTCCAGCTGGGAATCCCTCCTTCCTTCATGAGGTTCCAGCCCCGCCAACGAGAGGAGATCCTGGAATGGGAATTTCTGACTGGGAAATACTTGTATTCAGCTGCTGACAGCCAGCCCCCTCGAAGAGGAATGGACTCCGCACAGCGCGAGGCCTTGGATGACATTGTCATGCAGGTCATGGAGATGATCAACGCCAACGCCAAGACCAGAGGGCGCATTATTGATTTTAAGGAGATACAGTACGGCTATCGCCGAGTGAACCCCATGTATGGGGCCGAGTACATTCTGGACTTGCTGCTTCTGTACAAAAAGCACAAAGGGAAGAAGATGACGGTCCCTGTGCGGAGGCACGCGTATTTACAGCAGACCTTCAGCAAGATCCAGTTTGTGGAGCACGAGGAGTTGGACGCAAAGGAATTGGCCAACAAAATCAATCAAGAATCCGGATCCTTGTCGTTTCTCTCAAATTCCCTGAAGAAGCTTGTTCCCTTTCAGCTTCCTGGGTCCAAGAATGAGCACAAAGAACCCAAAGAGAAAAAGATCAATATACTGATTCCTTTGTCTGGACGGTTTGACATGTTTGTGAGATTTATGGGGAACTTTGAGAAGACGTGCCTCATTCCGAATCAGAACGTCAAGCTCGTTGTTTTGCTCTTCAATTCTGACTCCAACCCCGACAAGGCCAAGCAAGTTGAACTCATGAGAGACTACCGCATAAAGTACCCTAAAGCTGACATGCAGATTTTGCCCGTGTCTGGAGAATTTTCAAGAGCTCTTGCCCTAGAAGTGGGATCGTCCCAGTTCAATAATGAATCTTTGCTCTTCTTTTGTGATGTTGACCTTGTATTTACTGCAGAATTTCTTCAGCGATGTCGAGCAAATACAGTTCTGGGCCAACAAATATATTTTCCAATCATCTTTAGCCAGTACGATCCAAAGATTGTTTATAGTGGGAAGGTTCCCAGTGACAACCATTTTGCCTTTACTCAAAAAACTGGCTTCTGGAGAAACTATGGGTTTGGCATCACTTGTATTTATAAGGGCGATCTCGTCCGAGTAGGCGGCTTTGATGTTTCTATCCAAGGCTGGGGGCTTGAGGATGTTGACCTTTTCAACAAGGTTGTCCAGGCAGGTTTGAAGACATTTAGGAGCCAAGAAGTAGGAGTAGTGCATGTCCACCATCCTGTCTTTTGTGATCCCAACCTTGATCCAAAACAGTACAAAATGTGCTTGGGGTCCAAAGCGTCAACATATGGGTCCACACAGCAGTTGGCTGAAATGTGGCTAGAGAAAAATGACCCAAATTATAGTAAAAGTAGCAATAATAATGGCTCGGTGAGGACAGCCTAATGTCCAGCTTTGCTGGAAAGGACATTTTTTAATTAATCTAATTTATTTTTCAAAAATTTTTTTGTACGATCAGTTTTTGAAGTCCATACAAGGGGATATATTTTACACATGGTTTTCTTACAAAGGACTCCTTGAAGATTGAGCTTTTTGAACAAAAATGTGATCATGTTTGCCTTTTGAACACATTTTCTTGCTAAACATTATGTAGCAGACATGCTTAATTATGACTTGAAATGTACCTGAGGAGCAAAACTTTTTTTTAATATTTCTTTTTCAGACCTCTTTGCTATAGTCCTATGGCAGAAAACATGAACGTTACTGCAAAGTATTATTGTAACAAAACACTGTAACTCTGATAAATGTTTTGTTTTGACTGTTAACTTTGCACAGATTCTACCTTTTGTCTTTTTTACAACATTTTTTTTAAGCCATTTCATGTTCCAGTTGTCAAATATGGAAATGTGATAGTAACTGTGTCATCATCCTCAAGAGCTTTCCAAACGTGGTTTGTTTCCCCAAAACTTGTCTCATTTTTCAAAACAGGGGAAGCAGGAAAACATAATAAGATAGATGGCTGTTCTTATTGCAATTAGTGTGGCCTGATGGACCTGGCATTAGATTTCAAGAAGGGTCTGGCACTTTTTCTTCTCCAGACCCTTCTTTTTAAAAGATAAAATATAAATATTTAGAATGGCAAAGAATTATTACCATAAATCTAATGTATGCAAGGTTAAACAAAATAAACAGAACTTAACCCTAATGAAAGCATTGGGGGGAAATGTATCTGATTTTGTTCACTTCATCCTATCTGTGTTATGTTGACGGAGATGGGTGTCTCATTTTTAATTACTGTTTTGTTCTATCCTTTGTATCTGAAATACCTTTAATTTATTTAATATCCATTGTTTAGAGCTCTACCATTTCCCAAGTACCCGTTAGTTATTAGTATTTATGTGTATAAGGAGTGTTTAGTATATTTTATTTGCAGTAAACTGATCTCCAAAGATTTCTTTTTAAAAACTCTTCCCTGTCCTCAATTTTTACATTCCTTACTGTTTTACTAAATATTGAGTGTTCTTTGATAATCCTGGTGCTCATGTGTTTTGGGGACAAAAGTGAAATGAATCTGTCATTACACCAGAAAGTTTGTTTTAGACTCACAGAACAAATGTGCCTTAATAAATTTTTTTTTCATTTAGATTTCAAACAGTAATAGTTTTGTCATTTTAATATACATCATTGGAGATCTGCTTATTTGTAAATAGCCTCTTGCTCATTTGGAAAAATAAACCAGTGGACAATATTTTTCTATTGTACTTTTCAAAACCATTTTGTCTCATTACTCCTGTTTTAGCTGAAGAATTTTATTACATTTGGATAGTAAAAACCTTAAACACTGACTCATAAGGTTTTTCAAGTTATTTGAGGGAAATATTTATGCGCACTGCAGTTGGGAATGAAATGAAACTTTCAAGTGCCTCTTCTTTTTTTGCTGGAATGAATGAGTCATCTTCTGTTGTTCTTAAAGAACTTGCTGAATCTGTGTTTTATAGAACAAAGGTCTTCAAACCAGATCCAGGCCCCCTCTGGCTTCTTGATGTAAGTGTATCTTTCAGGGCGCCTTAGTGAACCTGCTAGGCCCCTTAGAATCTGCATTTTAACAGGTGCCCACTTGCTGGCACTGTGCATAAATGTGCTCAGGATTTTAGGGTGGATCTAGCTACAGCATAAATTGCCCACAGTTCCCATATAATCTAAGAATCAAACAAAGTAAGATCTTTGACGCCAAAGCAGCAAGCTTTGTGGATGTCAATTACACTCCCCGGACAGGTATTTACCATGTAATGACAGTGAAGATCCAGGGTAATGACATCGTGCTCACAGTAGGAATTGCTGTCCTTCAGCCTAATTGCCATTTACTTTGTGGGAGTAGTTAGTTTTTCCTTGGAAAAAAGCACAGACATTTTTATTCTTCAGTAAGGAAGAGCATAGTATACATCCTGATGACAAAGTCAGTTAAATTCTCTCCTGTTTATCATAATAGGGAATTATAGGACAGAGTGTGAGCAATTGCTTTGTTGAGCCTCAGTGGCGATCAGGTGTCCCAGTGATCCTTTAACACCGGCCACTTCCTTCCCTAATTTCATTCTTGCCCACATCTGCTCCTCTTCCTGACATCAGTGTTGATGATGGAGGTGCTACCCTCCCTTCATCAAGACTGTCTCTAGAGATGCCGTTGGAGCCCTTCACTCCCCTGGCATTGCCATGCCTGAACTCGGTACCCCCGACCTGTGGGCTCACGCTCCAGTTGGACACACCCTCTTCCTAAAGCGCCCCTCCAAATCAGCAGCTCTGGTTCCCCCTGCTGCCCAGAACGAAGACTCTGTAGGCCCCTCAGGGTGCCACCTCCAGCCCAACAGTCTTTGTTCATGAGGACGTCAGTCTCTGTCCGCCTGTGCTTTCCCCCTGCCTGGAGTGCTCTCCCTGCCTCACCACTGACTCGTCTTCCAGGAGACTCTGAAACTCCCCGTGTCCACCCTGGTGTCATGTCAGGCCCTCCCAGGGTGGATGTGACACAGGTTGACAGTCTCCCTGGACCACAGTCCTGGGTCTCTTCTAGGCGATGACCGTGCATGCCGGGACCGCATCTGAAGAAGCCTGCGGAGCCCCATGCTGCCCGGCCCTCCGTCTGTGCTCCGGTCCCCACCACGCATGCCTCCTGGCAGACGATGCCTGGTCCTGCCTGCCCATTGCACAGCCTGCCCCACACTCATGACCTACAGATGAGTCCTTCTTCCCTGAAACTTGGAATGCTTTCTGGTTAGAACTCTGTTTCACTTGTTACTTTAGACTTTCTCTTAGCTTGTGTAACTACTTTAAACACAAGAGAAGAATTCAACTGAAATGGCCCATGAACCCCAAACCAGATAACTCCTGTTAAAAATTAAGGATGATATGTGAAAGTCGTAAGGGGGGTGGATCACAATGCACAAAGATGTGCACAACTTCCCTCCTTCCTCCAGCCAGCCTTCAGGCCCTTCCTGCCAAGAACCACCAGGTTTGCGGGGTTCTGGTACGGAAGGTAGGATGAATTGTGTAATAGGCTGACACTGGTAACATTTAAAAAATTCACTTATACGGATAAGGGAGGGCACATGCTTGCTTGGATCTGTGCCAGCCTCTGTTGCCACGAGCAGACTTACGGACTTGTGTTTGGAGGAAAGCAGGCTGGGTGGGCTGCCCAGGTGTGGCTGCCCGTGTGGGAGGTCTGCCCAGGTGGAGGCTGGAGAGCCTGTCTCAGGTCAGACGGTGCAGCCGTTACGTTTGGAGGGCCGCATCGCTTTCCCAGCACTGTTCCTCTGAGCCAGGGAGAGAACATGCACCACAGATCTTAGCATGCAGGATTTTGGCTGGAGACAGGCCACGTGTCACACGGTGAGGCCATGCGGCAGCCCTCTTGGCACAAGGGAGGCGCCATCTCTCTCAGAGCCTGAAAGCAGAAGGCCTGGGTGGCAGTCCCCTCCAGGGCCCTTTCTGAGCCCAGACACAGGAGCCACGACCCTCAGGAGCTGGTCTGTGTCCCACTGCCCCAGACACCATCATCCCAGCGGTCAAGCTCCTGATAACTGCGGGCAAGTCTGCCCTCATCTCCTTTCTGCCCAGTGCTCTGACCACATCCATTTCACAAGGCCAACCTGATGCAACTGGGGCAGAGCAAAACATGCAGCACAGGCAGCAGACTGGGGACCTTGGCTAATACTTCTAACACAACCTTTGTCATGATGTGTGACTGAGCAAAGTGACAAGTCACGTTTCACCTCAGTTCTCAGCACTTGAAAGGTCACCTAGAGGCTCTGGTGTTGTCTGCAGCCACCTTCATGCAGTGTGTCCATGGGGTACCAGTGAGATGTGGTCTCCACACCATCCCCCAAGGTTAAGAGAACGGTGGGTTTACAGAAGCCTTTCTCGCCTTGTAAGTCCTGTCCTCCGGGAAGACACTTTGGACTGCCTGCCCACTGGACAGCTTGCCAGTAGCTGAGGGGCTCCACCCAGCCCCAGACTTCCAAGATCTCCTTATGCTTCCTTGTCATGGGAGGAAACAGGTGCCAGCCCTCCCTGGAGGGTTTCAACTGCATTGCTGCATGTGAACCGCTGTAATCTCAGCTGCAAAGGAGCTTATTGCCACAGTGCCTGGGGGCCAGCAAGGGGTCTGTCTTGTGAAGTGGCTCCACACAGCTGCCTCGAGGGGTCCCACTGTTCTTTCCCAGTCCTCAGAGAATGTCCCTGATCCACCTGAACGAAAAGGCCAGCTCACACCAAATATGCTTAGTCTCGTTATAAATGAAACTATAAATGTTACAATGCAGATCAAATTAAAGCAACTCATTTTGTGTGACTTTCTGTAGAAGTGTTGGTATGTTTCAGGGTTTTGTTTTTTTACAGAGGTGTATGTGGAGGAGGTTGTTTAGTTGGTAAGTGGTACCCAACTCTTTTGTGATCCAATAGACTAGCCCACCAGGCTCTTCTGTCCATGGAATTTCCCAGGCAAGAATACTGGAGTGCGTTGCCATTTCCTTCTCCTTGGGATCTTTCCGACACAAGGATTGAACCTGTGTTTCCTGCATTGGCAGGCAGATGCTTATTTAACTTACATGCAGAGCACATCATGTGAAATGCTGGACTGGATGAAGCTCAAGCTAGAATCAAGATTGCTAGGAGAAATATCAATAACCTGAGAAATGCAGATGACACCACCCTAATTGCAGAAAGTGAAGAGGGACTGAAAAGCCTCTTGATAAAGGTGAAAGAGGAGAGTGAAAAAGCCAGTTTAAAACTCAACATTCAAAAAACTAAGATCATGGCATCCAGTCCTGGGCCTCCCTTTTGGCTCAGCTGGTCAAGAATCCTGCAATGTGGGAGACTTGGGTTTGATCCCTGGGTTGGGAAGATCCCCTGGAGAAGGGAAAGGCCAAACACTCCAATATTCTAACCTAGAGAAT